ATCCCCAAAGTTTCAGCCTTCTAGCTTTTCTGGTTCTCGAGTTGAAAGTGGGTGACAAAAAGTGCGCACACACAAACAGCCTCTTCCCAATATGCGTTTTTGGAATTTACATATATGCAAAAACGCATAAAAACCTAATGATAAATGTGATAAATGTCAATCATGGTGTTTGTTCGCTTCAAGATCCACTGTACGTTTCAGTCACAAATTTTAGATATCAATGAATGCGAGCGACATCTGCATGATTGTCATCCGTCATCCCGATGCACAAATAAAGCAGGTGGCTTCTTGTGCTTCTGCGCTATCGGATTCCGGATGACCAGGGATCGCATCTGTGTTGACATCGACGAATGCGAAGAACGTGGCGGACGTCAGTGTAGTGAGCATGCAACGTGTATGAATTTGCCCGGCTCATATCAATGCCGTTGCAAATCCAATTATACAGGCATTTATTTCTTTACCTTTTAAAATTTCAGAAAGCAATTTCTTGAATATTATTTTGTGTAATTTCCATCAGTATAATCATAAGCAAGCAGTATAAAACCTCAATACATTTGAGGCAGGTTGTGAACGGCACATCATATTTCAAGCGGAATTTTGCCGAAATTGCTGATAGACTACAGAGGAACAATCCTTCTGCATTTCGGCTTCGAATTTGCTTAAGTATGAAGGAGGAATTGAAACAAAGGACAAAAATTAGCAGAAAAAGTGCAACAATTAATAGAATTAGCATGAATTTAAGCAAGACAGATGAAATTATGCGAAAAAGATGCAGAAGTTAGAGTCAAAAACATTAAAATTTATCGATAAAAGATAAATCGAGTTAAAATTTAAAAGAAAATAAACACAAATGCACAAAAAGTATTCAAGCAAATTAAGTGCTAACACAAGAAGGCGTGCCATTTTGAACAGAAAAGAGTATTGTTCTGCGCAGCAAATCTTTTCGAAACCGAAGATGCCCTCAAATATTTTATGAAAGTTGGACTGTCGCGATTTATAATCCTTGCTACTTCAGCAGTGCAGTTGTGAAATAAGCCTTTATTTTAGTTTCTGAAGTTCTTTTCTCACAGAATAATACCGCAACTTTCATAATTCGTATATATTAGAAATGCCAAGACCGGTCTAGGTTAATAGTGTTGTCCTTCCACGTGCTACTGTGCCAGCCTCATCGATTTTGAGCTGTATAATTCCATACTCATCGTCTTTTCCAGAATATTTGTGGTGGAATTTAGTATCTGAAGAAAATAAAAGTACTGTATTGTACAGTAATGGTAAGCTGTTATTAGTGACTGGAATAGCAGTTTTAGTATATAGCTCGTGAATGTATTCTCAGTAAATGCTGTAAAAAAGTTTTTCGAGGATTACTATAAGTTTTTATTCGAAATATTTTAATTTTATGTGGTTGTTTCCAATGTTACGTTTCTAGGTGACGGGTACACGTGTATTCCGGCTGCAAAGCGGCAATGTAATGAAGATGAACTCAGCAAATCCGACTGTGGACGCGATCACTTATGTCTGATAGATGATAAAGGCCGAATCGACTGTGATAGTTGTAAGAAGGGCTTCGTGAGGGAGGAAAGTGGCGGTTGCACGGATATCAACGAATGCTTGGTGAAAAATGCCTGTCATCCTGACGCATTTTGTAAGAATATGATGGGCTCCTATTCGTGCCACTGCCAACCAGGCTTCAGAGGAGACGGACATTATTGCGTCGGTCTGTTGAAATTTGTTAAACTTACTGGATCTGTAAATGATGCCATATTTATAAAGTAGCGGCATAGCTAGAACGAAGTATCCTGTTAGAAGGAGTCCCTCTTCTAGGCGTTCTCTCACGGATGGGGAGTTCTTTTTACAAATGGGGAATTAAGGCTCTCATCTTCACTATCTCCAGGTCCTCCGAATCGTGACCTGTTATCCATCACACTAGCAGTCCTGGTGCATTTGTAGGTGGTCACTTACATATAAACCAGTACCACTCTACAGTGTCTAAGCTGCCATTACAAACAGTTCACATTTTCCAACTTTAACCAGCTTTTTGTCCTTTTTTGCTGTGTAGCGCTGTAGCAGCGCTACAGTGCCCACGTTGCAACTTTGACGTGATCGTACACGCTTCACAAGCGTGCTCGACAGATGAGTTTAGAAACTTTAGCTCGCACATACATAGAGAATATCCCTGCAAATTTCCAGCTTTCTACTTTGCCTGATTCGTGAAATTGTTTTCCGCCAAAGAAATTTGCATATTTTTTGGGGGCCCATACGCGGGATCTAGGCGTATGTGGGGGAATATCTTGAAACGGGAGGGTGGGACACGGGTCTCCGGGCAGCAAAAACGCGCATTGTCAAGAGGCTGCCTGTGTGTGTTTGTGTGTGTGTGTGTGTTCAGAAGTGAGTGCATTTTGTCACCCACTTTCGCCTCAGCAACCAGGAAGGCTAGGAGGCTGAAACTTTGGGTATATGTTCCTACCCCGCGTGTCACCCTCCCGTTTCAAGATATTCCCCCACATGCGCCTAGATCCCACGTACGCTCCTTCCCCTCCTCCCCCCCCCCCCCAAAAAAAAAAAAAAAAAAAAAA